GTGTGTGTGGGGGGGGGGGGGGTTAAAAGTTAACGCTGCGATGGCGCCATGACGTCACCTTGACAGTGTCCGTGAGGACGAATCCCGGGTCCATGAGAGAAACGGCAAAGTACAGCAGCACCGACAATACCACCAGCAGGAAGAACAGCACAGGAACCGTCAGCTCGCCGCGCTCCTCGCACTGGCGCAAATCTCCACACAAACACAAACAGCATTTCGTATAGTTGTCAATAGTTATTAATTAAATGGAGCATCAGGCATGACGTGTAGGGGGTTCGGGCGAGGGGGACAATAAATTTGTGTCCATGAAGGAGGCGGCACGCGCGCCCAAAATACAAAGGAGTAACGTGTACATCGTTCCTGGGCGGCTGGGCGAGTAAATCGGGCGCACCTTTTCGACAACCGTTGAGGGCGAATTGCGGTTTCTTGCCATGGTGCGCTCCATTTGCTTACCCTAACGTCCAAAGTGACCAAGGGGAGTTCCAGTCTCAAATAGGCGATTCGTGCGCACTTTACACATATTTCGTGTTCATAAAATAACATTTGGTGACCGCAATTGAAATGTTCCCACAATCCTGTCATATTATGTTGCTCCGTAACTTCGCCGCATTCAAAACTACTTACCGGTGTTGTGCACGAACAGAATCAGCGTTATAACCCAGGTCAACACGGTGTGTGTGGCCCGAACCAGGAACCCGGTACGGAACATGTTTTGAACCATTTTATTCTAGAAAAATAATCAACCAATTTTGGACGGGTTCTCGTTCGTTAGCCACCCAGCTGGAATAGCCAGCTAGCTAACTACGAGGCTCCCTTAAAACAACATAATTACAACGGCGAGCGTAAAGGCAATTCGTTTAAATCCTACATCGTCGTATTTGCCTTATTATATGGAAGCTATGCGGTTGAGTGACAGCGCCACTACAAGATAAACGCGACATAATTTATGTGAACGTTATGGTGGAATGCTTTTCCGCTTCCACTTCCGTGTTGTTCTACGGACACTCGCGCAGGACAAAAGTCCAGAATCACGCAACTTCCGCGTTTTGTGCTGTAACTCCGGCGTGACCGACAAGTAAGACGAAGCAACACCAACATCCTACGTCATAGTCAGCCATCCATCATTCTCTCAACCGCTTTATCCTGGGAGGATGAGGGGGGCGCTAACCAGTGGCTCAGGGTGTCATCCTTTTCTCTCACTATATTCAAAGTGAAGGTAGTGTTTGTTGCGGTGGGGGCTACTGTGGGCTGTGGTGTGGTCCCCAACTGTTCCAAAATATATGCTGGAAAAACATGCACTTTTCTACAACGAAGAGCAAAACACGGAGAACACACCAGGAAACCAAGATAACTAACATCATAATCGTAAAAAAGACTATTATAAGATGAAGATAGATGAAAATGAAAACAATACTCCAGAAATGTGGAGAATATCATTTACTTTATATGAGATGGCACTAAACAATATTTCCTTTTTGCAAAATGTGTGTTTGTGTGTGTGTTTTTTTTTAAATAACGTTGAAAACTGTAACCTGGAGGCAGTAGCAATTAGCTTCAACCAATGCTTTGTAAAAGTAGGTCTTGGTCTGGCAAAAGCTATTTCAAATTCAGACTCACAGCTGTATGTTGAAGACATATTGTCAGTAGGTTGGTGGAGTAGTTATGACACGATTTACTAAATTCCACGAAAAAAAAAGTTACAGTATCTGGAGAAGAGACAATCATTTTGTAATTAATACTAAACGTGTTGACAATACTTGTGGTGTGCCCCAGGGGTCAGTATTGTGGCCCCAGTTATTTGTCATATACAGTATATCAATGATATTTCTAATGTAGCGGAAACACAAAATCTGGTGCTTTGAGGCTGATTGATATTTTTTTTTGGGGGGTGGGGGGGTGATCAAAGACAATTAACAAAACAAATTTCATGATATCTGGAAATCACACAGATAAATAGGAGCATAAACAGGATTCAAATTGGAAGGTGATGATATTTTGGCCAATTCGATCATATTGATTGGCAATGTTTCAATGTGATTTTTCTGTCAGATTGCCATGTTTTACGCAGAGAAGAGTGTTCAGTCGGCATATTCATTTCAGTCACCTTGACTCTTTGAGTGAAGCTTTCTCCACAAATTGGTCACCAAAAGGGGGTTTCGACCGTGCGTGGGTTCTCACATGAGATTCCAAATCGTCTTTTCTCGAGTATGTTTTTACACAAGTTGAGCAGCAGAAGGGTTTTTCTCCCGTGTGCAATTTCATATGCTGAACCATAACGGTTCAGGCAACAACTGAAGGGTTTTCCTCCCGTGTGCGTTGTCATCAAGATTTAAACAATTCAATGAAAATATGTACTGCACATAAAACTCAAATGAATATTATACCCCCCCGCCCAAAAAAAAAAAAAAACGAAAAAGAAAAATCAATGAAGATTAGATGCTGATGCGGAAAGATATTTTATTTTAAAGAGGAGAAAAATGTACATAAGTAAAAATTAAAATGCACTTACTGGATGAAAAAAAATTAAACAGGCTTGCATTGCTTAAAGCTTCATTCTACAGTAATATTTTCAGCACATTTTGTTGGTACTGAATTCAGTGATTCCTTTCGTCTACCACTAGAGGGAGCCTGCGTAGCACGGTCGGAAAAATCACCGTCCTGCACAACTAAATCGAACTTTTGCAGATCTTGAGAAGAATATCATTCAGCAAGTGAAGACAATGTTTCCAATTCAGCGACATCTCGGGGACTCCCCTTTTATTTTTTGTTGTTTGTTTTTTTTCCCGAAACATTCATCCTCGGTTGTTTGTGTGCAGTCAAACCTGCCCCGTGAGCGCCATTTCCAGTGAGCTTTTTTCTCTCGTGTGCGTCCTCATGTGTTTGACCATGTTGGACTTATGGGAAAATCTTTTACCACACAGTGAGCAGTAAAAGGGTTTTTCTCCCGTGTGTGTTCTCATGTGTGAAACCAGGTGTGGCCTTTGGGAGAATGCCTTCCCACAAGTGGAGCAGCTAAATGGTTTTTCCCCCGTGTGTGTCCTCATGTGCGACGTCAGACTGTGTTTCTGAATGAAAGATTGGTCGCACGCTGAGCAACGAAAGGGTTTTTCCCCCGTGTGTATCCTCATGTGCGACGCCACGCACGACTTGTGAGAGAAGGTCTTGGCGCACATCGAGCAACCGTATGGTTTCTCTCCGGTGTGCGTTCTTGTGTGGAGCACCAGACTGCGCTTCTGAATAAATGTTTGACCGCACAGCAGGCAACTGTGCGGTCTTTCCCCAGTATGTATTTTCACGTGTGACGCCATGTGTGACTTTTGGGAAAATGTTTTGTCGCAGAACGAGCAACAAAAGGGCTTTTCCCCTGTGTGTGTTTTCATATGTGGTGCGAGTTGCCGCTTTTGAGAGAATGCTTTGCCGCAAATTAAGCAGCGGAAGGGTTTCTCGCCCGTGTGCGTTCTCTCGTGCGCGACCATGCTTCGCTTCAGCGCGAATCTCTTCTCGCAAACCGAGCAAGAGAAAGGCCTTTCCCCCGTGTGCATTTTCATGTGCGTTGCCATGTGCGACGTTTGGGAGAATGTTTTTGCGCACAATGAGCAGCGAAAGGGTTTCTCCCCTGTGTGTGTTCTCGTGTGTTTGGACATGTTGGATTTATTTGAGAAGGTTTTCCCGCAAATGGGGCAACAGAAAGGTTTCTCTCCCGTGTGCGTTCTCATGTGCGTGACCAGATTTTGCTTTTGGGTGATGGTCTTACCACAAACGGAACAAGTGAAGGGGCTCTCCCCCGTGTGCGCGCTCATGTGTCGCCCCAGTTGTCGCTTCCGCGAGAAGGCTTCCCCGCACACGGAACAAACGAAAGGTTTCTCTCCCGTGTGCGTTCTCGCGTGCGCTGCCATGTTATGCTTCAGGGTGAATCTTTTCCCACAGGCGGAGCAGCTGAAAGGCCTTTCGCCTGTGTGGATTTTCATGTGGGTGACCATGTGCGACGTCTGGGCGAATTTCTTCTGGCACACCGGGCAACCGTAGGGTTTTTCTCCCGTGTGCGTTCTCATGTGTTTCACCATGTTCGACTGATTCGAGAAAGTTTTGCCGCAAACGGAGCAACAGAAAGGCTTTTCCCCCGTGTGGACTCTCATGTGTTGCACCACTTGAGTCTTGAGAGAGAACGTTTTGACACACCAAGGGCAGCGGAGGAGCTTTTCCTTCCTGTGCGTCCTCAAGTGGCGAGCCAGTGTTGACCGTTTGCCGAAGTGGTCGCCACAAACTGAACAGGTCAAATTTTCGAGAGGCATTTGTGAAGTCGCCTCGTTGTTCTTGCCGCACCTCGACTGTTGGTCGTCACCTTCAGAGTTGGCGTCGCTCTCCACGTCGTCGCTGTCCGACAGTGGCGCCAAGAGCTCTTCCGCTGACGGGCCAGCGCAGGGCTCTCCCGCTCCGCTGCGATGATGACACCGCGTCCGTTCGGGTGACTCGTCTTCGACCTTCACGCAGACGCCGGTCGGCGCCAGCGTGCTGACATCCAACCCCTTGTCTTCCTCTTTCATGCCTGGGGGCCGTGGCTCCTCCTCTTGGTCTTCACCATAAGTTGGCCATGCATCGTTTCCTTCCTCTTGAGAGGGAAGGAGCAGCGAATCGTTTTTATCCTCATTGATGCGACGAGGCTGTGGACCCTCACGCGGTAAAGTGGAGCTGGGGGCCACCTTTCCCCGAAGGACAATCAGCTGCTGGATGTCTGCGGGGCACAAGCAAGGCAATGAGACCACTCCAAACCATGCCACACATTCAGCGAAACTGACCGGACTGGCAACAGGGTTGTTTGGTGTTGCAGCTCCTCTGACATCCTCACATTTCTTTGGGTTTCTGTCTTTGCATCTTGCATTTATTTGACATCATGCATTTTGATTTGCAGATATTCTCTGCCATTTTTGACAAAATATCAAGCAAAGTTTCTTTCGAAAGGCATCCATTTAATCTTTGCATTGACCAGTTTGACTATTTCATTGTTGTGTTGACCTCTTATTAAAGGTTTAATATTATCCATCCGTCCATTATCTCATCGGCTTTTCCTCAGGAGGGTCGCGGGCGTGCTGGAGCCGATCCCAGCTGAATTCGGGCACCAGGCGGGGCGCACCCTCAAATGGTTTGTCAGCCAATCGCAGAAGTCAAACATTGTATTTGGAAATAAAATGACCTCAATTCAGCCCTTACTGTGACTCGTTAAATAAAGTCATTCATAAATATCGACTGATATGAACAACTTCAATCATGATACACTTTTTGGGGCGGCCACGGTGAATGCCTCTCGAAAGAGTCCACTGTTGCATAGAAAAGAAGCCACTGTCGTCGTCATCTCAACCACAGATGGGCAACCTAATGCGCTTTCAATGTACTGTCAGGGGGGGTGGGGGGAGACCCATGTTGTTTGTTTACTTCTGTATTTTTCGCCCTTTCTTTGGTTTTCAGGATGCATTGCAACATACGATGCTGAACTTTTTCGTTTTTCTTCTCGAATGGAGATGATCAGGTGGAAGTGCGACCAACTGAAATGAGG